TCTCCCCAAGGAGGAATAACCGCCAAGAGCCAGTGTGTTCTACGAGATTAATTAGCAGATTTGGACGAGCTATGTGCTTTCTTTTCTAGGAATTTAACTAAATTCTTTTCTACTGAAACTCTGGGAGAAATTTGAATCCCTCGAAGTTTGTTCCAGATCCTTTAAGGTAGAGTCTTTGAAGCCCCGTGCTGAATAATGCCTAGAGGTTTTATTCCCTTCAAGAACCCTCTCGACAATTAAAAATTCAATTTTGATGATTCTCTGTAATTTTTTTTTCTAATGAGGGAAGTCTAACAAAGTCAATAATAATAGCTTGTAGAAAAGTAGATTTTTTTCTGCCTTAATAACAAAATCAAATTATCTAATCCATCTATTTTAGTGTTGATGCAGATGGAAATGAGACCCAAGTTTTCCCACTACCGATCTGGGCCGGGCTTCAACGCCTGAGCTGGGATTTGAGCAGAGTGGAGTTGCAGAGGGTGGTGTGGGGTTGTGGGCCAGGCTGGCACGTGCAGGAGAATTCAGCAGTGGATCCAGGTCAGGAGAGAGAAGAGAGAAAAGGAGAAGAGGAAGCAGAACAGATAAAGGCAGAACCCAACCACGAGGGACCCTTGGGAGAATGCAAGAAAATCACCTCCTCCTTCCTGAAAGTTCTTCCAGTTCCTTCCTTGTGCTGCTAGTCCATGGATTCCCACAGACTCTCTCTCCACAGCCCTGCTTTGCAGTAGTTTGCTCTTTGAACTCAAAAGAGCTGACTACACTATGTATTCCTGAGGGTGGTTATTGAAAAAGCAAAAAGTTCTCCAAGCAGATTTGGAAAACCAGTGCCTTGATTGGCAGTGTGTGCCATAGGTATTGAAGAGTGGGTTTCGAAGTTTTTGGTAACACGGAAGAAAGGTGAATTTTAACTAATTACAGTGGGTACCTGGGATTGGATCCTGGAATAGAAGAGTAATACTAGCAGAATTTGAATGACTGAAGTTTGGTGAATAGTAACAATAGCAATATTAATTTCTTAATCTTGATAAATGTGCCATGGGGACAAAGATGTTAATGTTAAGGGAAACTGGGTGGGAGTGCTCGGAGCTCTCTATGCCATCTTTGTCATTTTTCTGTAGACCCTGTGCAGCTTTGGCCAGGATGCTTCACCTCTCTGATTCTCAGTTCCCTCATGAAAGTCGTGAATATGTTCGTTGTGTATGGAGTCATGTCTGGGTTTGAATCCTAACCCCACCATTTACTATTTGAATACAGGTTGAACATTTCTAATCTGAAATACAAAAATGTTTCAAAATCTAAAACTTTTTGAATGTCAATAAAACAACACCACCACAGATGGAAGATTCCACATCATGAAATTTGGTTTAATGCACAAAATTACTTACACTACTGTATAAAATTACCTTTAGTTTATGTATAGAAGATGCATATGACTCAAAAAATGAATTTTGTGTTTAGGCTTTATCCTGTCCCCAGCATATCTCATTATATACATGCAAATGTTCTGAAATTTTAAAAAATCCAACAGTTGAAACACTCTGGTCCCATGCATTTCAGCATGGAATCCTTGGCCTGAACCTCACGTTCCTTACATAGGGAAAATGATAGAACTTGTTCCCAAAGATGCTTCGGAGAGCTAATAAGGTGGTGCATGCAAAGAACAGAGTGGTATCTGACAGCGGACTCTCCATCCAAGATGGGCCCTTATTATCACAAAACTATAACAGTATGTAATAACCTGGACATTATGAAAATGTACACACTGCCCAAGACACTCAATATGACAGTGTGGTGGGTATTTCTCCTCTCTGCTACCTCTCTTATTTTATTTTTAAACATTTACCAGCATAGTATCTTTCTCTTGTTTTTTTTTTTTAACCAAAAACAATATGGATTTTATACACCTCACCTGTCCTGACTTGTTATTTTCAGGGCAATGTTTATAAAATCTTTCTTTTCAGTAGTTGCAAGAAATTGCATTATACATGCAGAGGTGACTCATTTAACTACTCTTGTGTTGAGAGACACTGGTTTATTTGCATTTTTCACCATCAGAAAAGTACTATAAAGAGTATAAACTATATTAGAATAAGTTATACTCCATGTGTATATGTCAAAATATACTCTACTGTCATGTATATCTAAAAAGAACAAAAAGAATATATAGTGTATATTACCATTTTTTATTCTTATTATTTCTATGTTTTTTTTTTTTTGGTACCAAGGATAGAACTCAGGGGCACTTTTTTATATTTTAATTCCAGACAGGGTCTCACTCAGTTGCTTAGCACCTTACTTTTGCTGAGCCTGGCTTTGAACTTGTGATCCTCCTGCCTCAGCCTCCCAAGCCACTGGGATTACAGGTGTGTGCCACTGCACCTGGTTTGATTTATAAAAGTAATTTTTGTAGAATGGAAGTTGAAACAATGATACAAAGGAAATAAATATTTAAAATTTTAATATATATGTGTGTGTGTGTGTGTGTGTATCAGAATTCCCCTGAAAACCTAAAAAAGTTTTCAAATTTTCATCATCTTTGTATATTAATCAATGTAAAACTTTTTTAAGCTTTGCCATCAATGAGCTAACAGTATGTAGTCTAAATTTTCTTTCTTTCTTTTTTTTTGTTTTTGAGGAAGGGTCTCACTGTGTTTTCTAGGTTGACCCCAAACTCCTGCTCTCAAGTGATCCGTCTGCCTCAGCCTTCCGAATAACTGGAACTACAGGCACATGGCACGACGTCTGGCTTTATTTCTTTAATTATAAGCAAAGCAGATTATTATTATTAATTATTACTATTATTGAGTTTTGCTTTTCTTTTCCTAACTATCCCTATGTATCAATTTTTCCCAGTAAGTTATTTATGTTTTGCTCATTGATTTTGTGTTCTTTATATTATAGCTATGACCTTTTTTGGAATATTTTTAAAATATTTCATTCCATTTTTCTTTAACATGTTCATGTCTTCCTAAATGGAATTGATGTTTCCATTTTTTATATGGTTAAATGTATCAATTCTTTTCTTTGTGGGGTCTTAGTTTTATGGTTCCGTTAAAATGGCTTCTTACGTCAATAGGATTTGAGTAATAATTTATGGTCTTATTTTAAAAAAAATTTAAATATTTAAACTGCCTGGAATTTTGTATATAATATAAAATTAAGATCTAAGCTTTTTCCCACGGGCTAAACGTTGTCCTTAATGACCACATAGGACTTGGTGACCTTGTCCTAGCTGGCAACCTTCAGTTGTCACCATCGTAGAGACCCTCCCCACCTCCTTGATGGACTTTTTTCTTGTGGTGGCACTTTCTGAACATTACAGGTGGAACCAAGTGCCTGCACGTACACTCCTCCAGGATCTAAATCCCTTTTTCAGGTCTCTGAGTTTCTGTTTCTTATCCAAAAAGGGTCCTCTTCTCTGAATGACTGACACCGGGAACCTCTGTGTCCTGGATGTGATGTCAGTCCGGTCAGGTCACCTGTACCTGACCATCAACGTCCCAATTGAGCACACAAGTTCCAATCACAGAAGAGACAGAGTCATGCACAGGTAGAGGTTGGGAGACCTTCTGACCAAGAGAATAGGAACATTTTAATGATCCCTGAAACACACCGCTCAATCACTTTCCCTGAGGTTGTGGTTACAACTGTAAAGTCCCTAGTTAGACTTGAGAGTGCCCGTTTCTTCCAACCCCTGCCAGTGTCGATGTCACTGGCTGGCTGTCTCTCCATCTGGAGGTGGCTGGCATTCTTCCTTGAGTCCGTTTTCCTTGCTTTACTCCAAAGGTCTCTCTCTTGAGATGGTCCCCTTCTCCTTAAATGTGTGTCTACTTTTCTAAATAAACCTCTGTCAATGTGTTAAAAAAAACAACAACAAACTTTTTGTTGTTGTTGTTCACTAGATGAACGTGATTTTTAAAATTGCATCTGTGATTATTTATGAAACAAACATCATTTTGCACACTTGTTCCATGATGGTATTTGTTCTTTTGTGATCTTTATTTCTATCCTCCCTGAGTTTACATTTGTGGTCTTGGGGTTTTTCTCGCTTGTCTGTATGGACTTTTCTCATATTAAAAGTAGTAAACCTTGGGGCTGGGGTGGTAGCTCAGTGGTAGAGTGCTTGCCTAGCATGTGTGAGGCACTGGGTTCGATTCTCAGCACCACATATAAATAAATAAAAATAAAGTTCTATCAGTAACTAAAAAAAATTTTAAAAAAATAGTAAACCTTTATTTCACATTTGCTGAACATATTCCTCAATCCATAATTTATTTAATGACTTTTATTATTGGTTGGGAGTTCCCACGGAGGTCTGGTAAACACGATTTCATGGTCTCTGTGAATATGATCAGATTGTTTTCCCAATTTCCACCCATCCCAAGGTTTCTTGTCCCATTTCTTTTTCGTGATGAAACTTGAGGTGGGGCGTGCCCAGTACCAAGGCTTCAAGGGAGGGGTGCTGGGGTTGGTGCTTAGAGTCACCCATTGGGGTGACACCCTTGCACCCTCTGTATTCAGTGGCTCCGCATGGGTCATGGCCACAGGTTCCTCGTCCCAGCCCCGAGGCCTCTCAGGCCCACACTCCGCAGGTGGCCTCTGTGTGGTTCTGACAGAACTGTGTGGTTCTTGGGCCTTCTCCGCCCACATAAGCCACACACCATTTCTCCTCGACTCCCCTCATGAGGCTGAGCTGCGGCATCTCCAGGGGCCTATCTGGGTTCCTTCCCTTCTCAGTTCTCAGATATATCTTCCCCAAAGGTGGCAGGGCCCCACCTGGGTGACTGTTTTAGGCAGATGAATATTTGTGTAGGGGAAGTGGGCAGGTGAGAGGGTGCAGACACTGTAATTGAATGGGGTGCAGCCCCAGCAAAGGCCACCCCCACTTTCTGGCAGAGCTCTGAGGCTGGATGACCCCTCAGAGTTATCCCAAGTGGAGACAACGGGGCTGGACCTTGGTTATCCCATCTAGGAAAGAATGATTTTTTTTTTTTCTCCAGAGAGGAGCATAGTCTTGGGAGAGGCCCCCTGGCAGGGACTCAGGCAAGACCTTTCAGAAGAGGACACTCGCAGATGTTCAGTCACGGTGAGGACCTGGGCCTCTTCCAGAGCATCTGCTATTTTTGCCCACTTGCCTTTGACGGTTCTTTGTGTCCCCTAACCCCCTCTAATTCTCTTTTAACTCTCAGGCCATAGGCTCTTTATTCTGGAAGGACACCCTGGCATTTTTATAGTCTTCCTGATTCATTGTGTTTGCCCTGAGGCCTGGGATTTCGAAGCTCCAAATCCAAAAATTAGCCTCCTTTGTTATCTACATTCTGCTCTGTCATCCCCTCCCTGAAACAATCGAACAAAATGCCTAGCTGCCTAAATGTGGGCCAGAGAAAGGGGAACAGGAAGCACCAGAACAAAGGTTCAATATGTTATATCCTGCCTCACACAGTAACACACACAATGGATAATGTCGACGTGATGCAAACTCTCCAAAGGGATGCTCCACATTCTTTGTGCCTGGTGAGGACACAGAGAAGAGAGAGGGATTCTTAAAAGGATATCAACTCACACATTGCTAGAGGGAAAGTCTTAGAATCTCCAGGAGATGGGTGAGAAGGGATTGGTGAAGGCTTTATGTATCTCAAAAGAGAACATGGATTTATTTATACATTTGAGAACATGACGTAAGAGTGAGATCTTTCCAATAGTCCAGAGAACAGATTGATCCTTGACAGGAGGAAGAGCCCTTCTGTTCCAACTAGAGGGGAAGAGGGAAAATGGGAGTTGCATAGAAGAAATGGTAGCACGAATGGTGTCCTCTTCAAATGACATCTTATCCACGGAGGACTTGGGGGGAAGGTCATTTGACGAGAGTGAAGGTAGAATGATTTTTGAGAAGACAAGAGAATTTTGAAACAGTTCTGTCTTAGTTCAGGTTGCTATGATAGAATATCATAGATCGAGTGGCTTAAAGGACAGTTTTTACAGTTCCCAGGATTGGAAGTCCAAAATCAAGTTGCCATCAGGTTGGGTGTCTAATGATACCTTGCTTTCTGATACGTAAATCGCTGCTCAGCAATGACTGAGGGAGACAGGTGGAAAGAGAGGAGACCTGTTTGATTGTTTCTGTTCTAGATGGTTCCATTGAACTACCCCTTGATGTCAGCATCATTAGCATTGTTGTTGTTATTTTTTTTTTGGTACCAGGAATTGAACCCCGGGGTGCTTAACCACTGAGCCAAATCCCCCAGCCTTTTATATTTTATTTTGAGACAGGGTCTCGCTAAGTTGTGTAGGGCCTCACTAAATTGTTCAAGCTGGCTTTGAGTTTGTTTGCAATCCTCCTGACTCAGCCTCCCAAGTCACTGGGATTAAGGCATGTGTCACCACTCCCAACTAACATACAATTTTAATCACTGTAACTTTAAAATAGCCCTGCTCTTTGAATTATCCAGCCTTTCAAAAAAAATTTTTTTTCTTACATTGGTTTTATTTATTTTTATGTGGTGCTAAAAATCAAACCCAGTGCCTCATGCATGCGAGGCAGGCACTCTACCTCTGAGCTACAATCCCAGCCCCAAGGTTATCTTTTTACAGAAACTTTTTTTTAATATTCTAAAATGTTTCTTTCCCATATTAGCTTTAAGATCATGTTAAATTACAAAAAAAATTAATGCTATTGATGAGAAGTCCATTAAACTTATAAATTTAAGAATTATCATCTTTACATTAATATTCCTATATAAGAATAAATTTTATCTTACTATTTATTCAAGCCCTTTACAACCCGAAATAAAACATTGCAGGTTTTTTTTTTTCATTTATTTTTGTAGTGGAACAGAACACCTCCTTCTGTCACAGAGTTTGGACACCAAGGAGTAATTCGATGACTCTGTGTCTAGGAGCAGGGCAGACTGGCTATGTTATACCAAGGTAGTAATTAAGTCCTTTGATCATATTCTCGAAAGGGAACATGTTTCAAATTAATATTTTGAGACTATAGTGGAAATGAGTTGAAGAAAAAACCATGAAAATAAAGCTGTGAACATAAAAAAGATATGAAATACTGATGTATACCACACTATGGGTGACCTTGAAAACCTTATCATAAATGAAAGGAGACAGGCATGAAGGTCACATATTCTGTGAGTCCATTTATTAAAAAAATGTTCAGGAAAGGACAATCCATAAAAAGAAAACAGTGGTTGCTAGGGACTGGGAGGAGAGGAGAATGGGGAAGGCTCCTTAATGGATACAGGGCTTCCTTTTAGCGTGATGGAAATGTTCTGGAACTAGATAGGGGTGATGGTTGTACAACATTGTGAAGGAACTAAGTGTTACTGAATTGTACATTTTCAAGTGGTTAAAATGGTGAATTTTATACTATGTATATTTTATCACACACACATACACAGCCACGGGTTTGAGAAAAGCAGAAAAGCCAACACAGGGGATTCCTTAATTATGAGATTGCTTCCTGTCCCACCACCACCACCATCACCACCACCATCACCACCACCACCACCACCACCACCACCACCTGTGCAGAACATAGGCCCAGCCTCTTGTGCGTGCACCTGTTCGCATCTCTGAAGGCAGCATTCATGTGTCATATCCACAGGTGTGGGCAAAGTGACCTCAAAATTCAGTCTATGTTCGTGTTTCATCACTGTGTCAAAATACCTGAGGAAATCAACTTAAAGGAGGAAATATTCATTTTGACTCATAGTTTCAGGGGCTTGCGTCCACGGTCGGCTGGCTCCATTGTTTCCGGGCCTGTGGTGAGGCAGAAGGGTGGGGTGGAGCAAGCTGCTCACCCTGTAGTGGCCAGGATATACAAAAGGAGAGAGAAAGAGGGGGCCAGAGACAAGATACACCCTTCCAGGGCACAACCCCAGTGACCTACTTCCTCTAACTAGGTCCCACCTCTTACAGTTTCTACCACCTCCCAATAGTCCATTCAATTATTAACTCCTCAATGGATCAACCCATTGATGAGATCAGAGCCTTCATGATCCAATCACTTCCCTAAGTCCCACCTCTGAACACCACTGCACTGGGGACCCTTCAACACAAGAGCCTTTGGGGGGCATTCAAGATCCAAACCATAAAAACCTCCAACTTTTCTCTGATTTTACAGTTCAATTACAGAACACCCTTCCCCATGCTTCCCACAGACCGTCCTTCTCAGACCTCTTCGTGCGTAACACAGAAGGAGCAAGAACTCTGGAGTCCACTGGAGCCACTGGCTGTCTCCACCTTGTCAGCGCACTTGCTGTGTGATGTTGGGCCTGCAATGTCCCCGAGCCTCTTTGAGCATCTGCTTTTGGTTGTGAAGGAGAGATCATGAGTGCCTCCTACCCAGGGCATCAGACAGTGGTGATGAAACCCACCCTGAGGAAAAGCTAAGTCCATGTTCTAACATCGCCGTGTTATTAAAGAAACTCTGAACCAAGAGGGAATAGCCACTTTGCTACTTAGTGAGATCAAAATTTACAAATGTTAAGCGCTGAAGCCTACAGATGTCTAGGCCCAATTAGATACTCATACGATCTGACCTCTGAAGCATGCTTCTACAAAGTTGGGTAATGCCCAAGTAATTACACTTTATTTGTGTCAACCAGATTCACCAGAGATTGCAGCTGCAATGAGGACATAATCTTGCACAAAAAAATCAAAGCCACACCATCACCTTGTGTTGTCAAAAAAAAAAAAAGCAACAATTACAACATGCATTGCTTTTTACACAAAGGAACTAAATCAGGACAGTCCTCCCACAAAAATGTACCTTATCATAAGCTAATAAAATAATGAATGGAAATCAGAGTGGCCTTGGAGTAAAACCCAAGATTTATCTATGAAGGAGGGAGACAAAGTTGATGTTCTGGTACTGATTGCCTCTCTCCCACAAGCTCTGCAAAATCCCTGAGGCCTTAACTTGGAATTGCCCAGTAGATTCTCCCATCTCCAAACCTTTCCGTTTCCTTAGGTTGACAGAGGAAGCCCTCCGTCTGCTGTCTGAGAACAGCTAGTGCTCCCAGACTTTCCGTGAGCTCCTGTCTTACTTTGAGAAGCCCTTGGTGTAGTTGTCTGCTGATGCAGATATCACCTGGGGTAGGAGTGAGAGATCAGGGAATGCCACGTGAGAGGAAGGGGGTGTTATCACAATGAGGGGTACAGAGTGCTTCCCAGAACTGGTCACCTGAAGGAGAGAGAATTTATCCACTTGCTTCCGTCCTTTACAGGTTGAAAGTTGCTGAGAGGGACATTAACTCCCTTGCACAGCTAAGGGTGCCTACCTGGGGGCTGAGCAAGGTCCCAGGGTGCTGGGGAAGTCTTCCAGCCTTTACAAACTCAAGGGCCATATACCAGCACTAAGGGGATGCTGTATGTGAGAACAGCACCTGGGCTCACAGAAGATGACTGTCCACTGGGGACAGGGTGAAGATCAGAGGTGGGCCAAGGGGTGTCATGTGCTTGTCACAGTGCTCCTCCATTGCCCAGCTTCTTTGCAGTGAGGTTGTGGTCATGCCATCCTGGTGCTAGTGTGGAGGATGCTGCCCTAGAGAGTCAGTCAAGCCACGTCAGACCTGTGGGAGGAAAGAATAAACCTTGGTTGTATTAAGCAGTGGATGTATTGAGGTTTATTTGTTACTGCAGCACATCCTAGCACTGATTTACTCTTCCTAAAAAAAAAAAAAAAAGTGTCCAAAACAACCGGGATTGGGAGAGGGGTACACATTTCATTCATACCATGCAAAAGGGAGTACTGCACTGTAAAAGTGGACCAAGCACCAGAGTAAGCAAAAGAGCATCCACAAACTAAAAGCCAACTTATCTTACCCCCCAGGGTAAGTTTCCCATTGAAGCTGAGAGGATCAACCCCAACACACGTTGCTGTGCACAAATACTCATTTCTTTTAGTCTCTTTTCCTCAAGTTTCACTTTATGTTTTGATCCCAGCTCCTGAAACCAGGATGTACCTTGAGGAAGCAGGTTTCCTGTCCACTTGATGTGACTCCAATTGACAGAGCAGGTGACAAGGCCCAAAAATATCAGTTGCAGCTGATCAGGTGTATTGTTCACCTGGAGGCACTGTACAACCGTAGTGCACATTCTCTCCGTTTGTGGGATGATGTGTGGAGAACTGGCTTGCCAGCAACCCCAGAGAAGATTCTCTCCTGGCACTATCACAATAGAGGTTGCCAGAAGAGTCACTTTTTCTGAAAGCATTTATTCCATCTGGCATTAAGGGTTCTTGCAGTTGGTTAGTGGGTCCGGTAAGTGGTCTCTTTTCCCTGAACCTGCTGGCACTCCTCACTAGGCTAAGGCTGGATCCAGGCTCAGTTTGTCCAGAAGCTTGATTTGAGCTGATCCTTGTGGGTAGCCCGGTCCTCACAGGGCAATTTGGCTGGAACTCTGCTCCTGAGCTGCTGATTCACACACCAGTAAAAGTGAACCCATCCAACAAGGTATCTCCCCCCTACTCCCAGCTGAGATCAGCACACTAGGGAATAAAGGTTTTGTTAAGGAATGAGAAGTGGAGGAGAAAGAAAAGGCTGGGGAGCAGAATTGGGGTGTCCCTGGAAGTCCGTACACCGAGAGTCAAGCCCCTCTGGGTCATACATTCACTGAGAAAATATTTCCTTTTCTTTTGTTTTTTCCATTTTTTATTTGTTTCAATTAGTTACACATGACAGTACAATGATCTTGACATATCATATATTTGAATCAGATGGGATATAATTTCTCATTTTTCTGAGTGTACAGGTTGCAGAGTTACATTGGTCATGAGGTCACGTATATACCCACATCTTTTCTTCTTTCAATAACACTCAGGAGCAAGTGTTACCATTTAATGATGATTCACTGATTTTAGGATTGAGCAGTAAATAAATATATTGTGAATAATGGAAGCCAGGGATCACTTAAAGACAGAGACATGAGCAGATATTCTGTTTGTATGTGTGTGGAATTGAACCCAGGACCTGTTTCATGCCAGGCAAGCACTGTACCACTGAGCTACACTCCCAGCCACTGATGCTCAAATCTTAAGTGTACAGACTAAAAAATTTTTACATGTATACATGATCAATCACAGCCCAAATCAATATTTGAGTATTTCCAGCACCCTTATAGGGATCTTTGTGCTCCTTCCCAATCGTAACTCCCTAAAAACAACTACTGTTCTGACAGCTGCCACCATTGATTTAGTTGATGAGTTTTGTTGACTCTTGAATCTCATATCCATGGAATCACAGAGTATATGCCTTTTTGTGTTTGGATTTTTCACTTATCACATCTAGAAGATTCATCCATGTCACATGTAGTGGTGGCAAGTTCTTTTTCACTGCCATACAATATTCCATTGCACCAAATCCTCCCCAACTTATTATTCAAATAATGCACATTTGAATTATTTCCAGTTTTTGACTTTATGAATGAAGCTGGTTTGAATATATTTACGTATGTCTTTTGGTAGACATCACACTTATTTCTGTTAGGTATCTCTCCAAGAACATAATTGCTAGGTCATGGGGTATATAACATTTATCGTCAATAGATAATACCAAACACTTCTCACTCTCACCGGAAGCATCTGAGACATTTGGTTGCTACATAGTATTCCAACATTAGTTTTTTTTCAGTCCTTTTAGTTACCTTCATGTCCTGATTTGTCAATTACTCTTCTAAAAAGAGATACAGACACTTGTTATTGGGCCACAAAACTCCCCCAACAATTAAAGATTTCAAATGTTTGATTCACAACCAGAGGACAATAGGAATGAAGGAACAGAAGCCATTGGTGTGGAAATGGAAAGGTCTAAACCTGGCAGCGGGCGGGGGCGGGGGGGGGGCAGTGTTGAAATATGCTGGAATTTGACCTGTTGGTGGGATTTGAATGGAAGGAGAGGAAGAAGGCACCCTGTCAGGGCACACAGCTGGAGCAGAGTCAGAGAAGTGGTGAAAAGTGTGGAGCAGAGCAGAGAGCGAGCCAGCCTCATGTGGCAGCAGGTGTGCCTCTGGGGAGGACCGGGGCCTGTGGCTGGATTGGTAAAGAGGGGCTTTGAAGCCAGGAAGGGGGCGTACTGGTTGGATGCTTGGGGCAGAGGAGGGTAGCTGGGGGTGGTGGGGTTGTACCTTAGTGGGAGTGGGATGTCTTAGATGAGAGCCCACTGGCCCCTCCTTCAGTGTCCTCTTCTGTCACACAGTATGGGGACCTCACCATGAGGAATCCCAGGAGCATTCTCCTTCAACAGGGCCACTGCTTACAAACCAACTACCTCATCTGGTTCTCAGCCAAAGAAATAGGTCTGTTCTGGAGAGAAAACCAGATGTACCAGATTAACTGAGGAGTAGAATAGCTGCATCTTGTTCTGTGGAGGAATCTTCAGGGATTTTTCAAGGAACAAAGTTTATTTTATGTGATTCATGCCTAGGAGCCGACGTCACTAAATTAGGTCCATGGGAGATGTACCTCTGTAAAGGGGTGGGCGCAGGCTGGGCCGCAGGTCCTGAGAGTGGAGAGAAGCATCCCCACTTCCCTGGTCTCCCCCATGCTCTCAGTGTCTGGGCCCCTTCATTCTGCACCTGCACACTCACTATTCGTTTCCACCATTCACTGCACTGATCATTTGTCTGTTCATTTATTCCTTCACTCACTTATTCATCTGAATAAAATTCCACTGAACACCTCGTGAAGGTCAAGTTCTGCCCTGAAGGAACTCACATTCTTCCTAAAATAAAGCCAATGCAGAGGATGATAGAAGACATCAGTTCTACCCAAAGAAATGCTGAAACAGAGTCTTGCAGGGTGACTTAGAGTTGGCCTGGCAGACAAGGTCAAGGGAAGAAGGCCTTCCATGTGAAAAAGAGAGAGCCACAGCATGGCAGGAAGGCTGCAGATCATGTGGCCAGAGCATGGAGTCTGTGTGCAGAAATAGCTAGAGATGAGGCTGAGTAGCCAGGGTCAGATCATGAAGGGCCACACACAGCAAGGTAATGACTGTGGACTTTAGCCTGTGGAAATGAGAGCCATACCTGCCTAGTTCCACCATTAGAAGCATCATCCTGCACCACTGTGAAGGTCGGAGCAAGGAGTGAGCATAGAGGCAGGAGAATCAGCGTACAGGTCAGGATGCCAGACTTGATCAAAGAAGACTTAAGATGAGCCCCTGGCAGAGAGAGTTAAGAGCAAGAAATGGGTATTTGGGAGATAAATTCTACAAGACTCAGAGAGATTGGAAAAGGACAAAGAGAAGAATCGAATGACTACCCTATTCTGTCTGGGTGGATAATGGAACTTTTATTTAGGGGAGGAAGCATGGGGAAAGGGAGGTGGGCAGGATAGGAAGGGAAGAGAGGGAAAAATGAATTTAATTTTTGTCATTTTGAAATTGAATATGGAATGTACAGTGGGTGGTTGGTTGTACAGTCTGGCACTCAGATACAGTGCTGAGCTCGAATGTAGATTCTGGATCATCAGCAGTGACGAAAGAGTTGCTGAGCCTGGAATCACTCAGGAGACTATGTCAAGTAAAAAGAAAAGAGGGACAAGGACACGGCCATGAGGAACACCAGGCTTTCGGGGATGTGATGAAAAGCAATCCCAGGGAAGGAGATAAGGAGCAATTCAAAAGTCAGGAGCAGAGCCAGAAGGAACCAGAAAGTAGGGGAGGCCCATTTCTTCTTGCTCATGGCGTATTTATACACCAC